AAAAGTTAAGAGTCAACCACTCCTACCTAACATTTAAGTCGTATTATTAAATTATTATTCTTTTTAAAGATGTACTTCAACTGAGTGTTAGATGATGACAAACAGTATTGGGAAGGTTACTTTGGAAAAGTAATAGGTTACAGATTACAAGTTACTCTATTTAAAATGTAATAAGTAGTGTAACTATTTCAATTACTTTATTAAAGTAATGTAACTGATTACTTTTTGATTACTTTTCTTAACGTTTTCCAACTGTAAATAATTTTCGAACATGTAAACCAGGCAGGGTTAAACTTACAGTATGCTCAAAACTGATTACTGTCAGCCTTTTGAAATCCTTCCTCACTTGAATAAAGATTATAATATTTTAATTTTAAAGCATAGCCACCACAAAATCAGACTTACTTTGAGATCATTCTGAGGTTAAATACAGATTTAAAATCATAAGATATAGTTTAATAATAGCTATGATGCTGTTTTTTAAAACAAATCTTTGCATAGCTATGACAGGAAACATTGGAATCTAACAATGCCTTGGAAAAAAAACAAACAGTTAATCTTAAAAAAGAAAGCATATATATAACCCCAATAGGCAATAAAACAGTTATCGAATAAGCATGTGTCCTATTCTCTGTCCTAAACTCCTGAAATATTGGCGTCTCATATTTTAGAGCAGTCAATGCAATTTAGAAAAAAAAAACAATCAAATCTGTATGTGTGTGAAAATATTCAGATGTAACCCCCTTTGTAATCGTTACATTTATTTTGTAATTAAATTACATAATTCCATTACATGTACATCTAAATGAAAAAAATTAAGATAATAAGCACGCACAATTAAATATCTGATATCAACCGATAAAGTAAAAAAAAAAAAGATATGGTAACGATATACTTGGCAATAGTTCCACAACCCCATTCAGACCTAAAGTACGACCCACTGAGCAACAGTTGAGATCATCTTACATATGGCAAGTAGTCAAAGAAAAGAAAGGGTTAAAATCACTAGGTTAACAAGTTTCCGTTTGCTATTCTTGGCATCCCTCACTCAACACTTGACTCAACACTTATTTTTATTGTTTTGTCATACCGTCACATTTTCCATATAGTCTGAGAACAACCAGACACTACAGTGTGACATTTGTGTAGCATCACTGGACTGATGAACACCCTGCATCTTTTTTTCCTCCAAGCCTTTTCTTGCCCTTCTGATGTGATGACTTAATTTTTCTTTGTATCCACTGTCCCTCTCCAGCCAGAGAATAGATTGTTTGGTCATCAGCGGACTCTCGCAGCAACTACTGTTGGTCTTTGATTGGCAAAGACCCAAGAATCTTCAGAATGGAGGCTTAATACTCCCAGGGCTGACAGCTGCAGGGATTAGGCACTCTTGCTCACTGTTATTGACGCCCCTGCATTGTGCCTTTCTCCGTAAATGTGGCACCAGGACCAGGATGGGGTTGATGAGGGGGGCTATTTGAGGGGGGTCAGCATTCTGAAGTCATGTCAGGTGCTTCTGCTTTGAAGCCTGAATGGATATATTAAAGAACATCGAGAATATGTGATATGTGATGTACAAAAACCCACCGTTCGTAAGGTGGACGCCTCCCCATATCCACAATGACATCACTAAATTATCACTTATGCCCCAGATTCCCCCTTCCACCAACCCCTAGAGTCCGGTCTGACCCCACTCTGACCCCCCAGCACCACTGACGCGGTCATGACAACCATCTCAAGAGGCTTGTTGTATGTGTAGAGAGTGAGAAGTGTATACATGAGTGCATCTCTCTCTATGTTTGTGTGTGTGTGGGAGAGAGAGAGGCACTTGTGACAAATGGGAATTTAAGTGTGTCATTTACGCAGTGAACAAAAAAAGCTACATGAATGTCGAAATGCGCAAAAAAAAACAACTTGAGCTAAAGATAGTTTCCCTGAATTAACAAAATGGGGAGAGGGATAAAAGCTTTAATATTCATAAGTTAAAGGAAGAGATTAGAATATCCATTAAAATACTTTCACTAGAAAGACTGTGGGGGGTTTGGGATTTAAACTAGTAAGGCTGTGTGGTCTAAAAAACTTCTGGTCTAAAAAAATTTTAAAAGTAAGAAAGGCAGACGTCCAAACATTGACAACTGACATCCACTAAATTGTTTGCAAATTATAGCTGATGAAAAGACTATTTTTGTTCTCGTGACAAATGCTCCGTATTATTCTCGAAACATGTCAACAGGTTTGTACAGGTATTAATTATCCATCTCTGGATTCTTTGAAATATGCCTGGAAGAGTATCAGTGTGAATATTTATGTGTCTTTCAGGGGCTGTTTATATAAAAAGATTCCCTTCTTAATGTTCAAAGTGTGTTAATCACAAAGACATCAGCTCGGAGTTCTCACATACTCTCTTCCCAAACATGACCTCATAATGTCTTCAAGGAACGCTCAGAATAGAACAAAGTGACCAATTTAGAATATTTACTTCAGTCTTTTATCATCATCTTCTTCATCCTCATGACAAGGGAAACGAAAAAATTATTAAGAAAGGATAAACTTGGAAGCAAAACATTTGAAGACTAGTAGCCTCAAAAAAAGTGTAACATGTCATTGGATTAAATAAAGCATCAAACCTAGTGGCATTTTTAGAGAACTTTTAGAAAGGTTTTTAATTTATAAAACAAGACATATAGTTTGGGATGTGCAAATAATCAAATGTGTTTTTCAACTGACAAGCTACGCAATATCGCGTTCAAAATCGGCAATGAATCGCCTGCGATTTTGAACGCGATATTGCGTAGCTTGTCAGTGAACTACAGCTCTGTGTAGTAAATGCCACTCCATCTGAACGCACATGCTGGAGATTTACTACTAATCACAGAACCGGCTTTAATGACGAGATGCGCATGAAAATCGCATTTGATTATTTGCACAGCCCTACATATAGTGTTTGAAATTAAGACAAAGTATTTGGACACTTTGTAGTTCTGAAATGATGACAATGTGATGAACTACATATGTGGTTACTCTGCTACACCTGAGTGAACTTCAGGAGAACTTCATACATCCATGAAAATGTAATCACAAAAAAATAGCATCTGTGGTTTGATATTTTTTCTAATGTAATCAGAGGTTACAGTGTAATCACTGTATTTCTCTACAATTAACTTAAATGTACTTATGCAAAACTTCAAAAATGACACAATTCCATCAATAATTAAAAGCATTTAACGGACTCGTGTAATTGTCAACAATATAAACAATCCCTGTTTTAAAAATAAATAAATAAATAATGGCACAAGCAAGAGATTTTAGTATGGACAGCACAGCTTCTAGGTAAGTCAGTATATAGTGTATTCTATGATTGGAAAGATTAATATTTCACTAAGGCCTGTCAACAATACCAAAATAAAGGCAGATCCAGTGAACCCCTCAGGGCAAGATGCCTCTCAATTGATTTCAGACCTTCTTTCCTCGTCTGCCTCAATAACTGTTCAATAATTGATGAGAGACGATCCACATGGATCCCAGAATTCCACTGTCAAGTCTTTCAAGCAGCAGGTTGGTTTTGAATAACTTCAAAAGGTTGGTGAAAATTCTACACCGCTAAAACAGTCCATCTTCATATCAAGGCCAGAAGCTTTTAGGGCAACATATTAAAAAAAAATCAGCACACAAATATGCCAGAGTAACAACACCGAAGAGGCATTTAGTATGGATCAAGGTAACAGACAAAGAATTGTATAAATACCTTCATGTTGTGCATTAAAGGATTCTAACCAGCATTTACACTCAGGAGCACATAAACGGAGTTACTAATCAATTCCTTAATCATCTCCTCTGTCTTAGCATCAAAATCATCCTCAAGTTCGCTGAGCAAGGATGTAAATGAATGCATTTTTTATATTTCAACTGATACAAGCACAGGACGTGAATTTCAAAACAGCCTTAAAATCATAACCACTAAGAGCCTTTTCATGTTTTGTGCAGGATTTTGAGTGTCCCACACATCAAGAATCGCTATTTGATACCAGAAACCACCAAATGTTGTACAGCCAGGGCAGTGTTTCAGACAAAGTTCACTTTACAAATCAATCAATGGACTGATTAAATGACCAAATAAACCACACATTCAACAGTTTTAATCTCTTCTATGATGACTGACCTGTCTTGAACTGTGTACCAACTGCAATAAAACTCTCAGATTAAAACAAGCACTATACTGGAAGTAATACATAATTCATGCCCTCTTTTATTCTACATATGCAAAATTTAAGATTAGAAACCTACAAATTTTAGGGACCATATCTGACATGCTTTTAACTTCAGATCCATAATGCATTACTTTTTCAGGTAGAGCTGTGAATGAATAATAACTTAGTCCAGTGAACAAATAATGTGCATTTCGAAATGTCACCTCTTGGTTCTCTAAAGTTGCCTGCTGAGTTTGTTTTAACAGAAAACTGATCATTCCTGAGCAACTTTGTCTTGTGGGTGTAAAGTGGACAATGAAGGCTGATGTGGGAACCTCATGGCATCTAAGAAGACCACTGAGCCTGAGACAATGGCTGTGAGAAACCCACCAGGATAAGACTTGGTTATATATATATATATATATGTGTGTGTGTGTGTGTAGCCTATGTATGTAAAAAAAGATACTTGAGGCACTTCAAATAGGTCCCATTCATTTTGTAAATTCCTCAGTAATCTGACCCTTTTCAGTGGGTTCCTATAGGTTCTCTAGAACGTTTCATAGCTTTTTATATTTACAGTATATGCATTTTCCGTGTCAGCTGCATTTTTGGGTATCATATACGCGTGATGATGCCCAAAAATGCTTCCCAACCCGTAAGTGCTCTCGTCAGGCACCTCACTGTTTGAGACAGCCTGTAGGTGACAGGATAATGTAAACAAAGAACTCAAAGATGAGCAAATTAAAAAACCGTATCAAACAAACACACTGCTTAATGCTTCAAACATGTTTCTTTCTTTAAGGAGCCACTTACTTCTTGTCCAGGTAACTTAAGATGGAAGATGTTACATTCCGTAGCACGCAGCTGTCCGATGCGAACAAAACAGTCACAAAACACACCTAAACGCGTCAATGTCCATTTGTTTGTAGGCTTGTAGGTTGTTTCTTCGTTCTTTCTCAGTTGCCAAAGTTTCCAGTCGGCGCAGTTAAAGTAGGCTACTATCTTGCGTTCATTAACCGGTTACCCTTTGAGAATTAACGCGGAGCTCAGAAAAACTTTCCCAATTCCAGTCGCACTGTCATCTTTCACAATATCATGAGGAGCAAATCCGTTAGTATTCCAGAGTCAGACGCGCTGCCTCTCTGTACGAGTCCAGTCAAGTGTTTGCAGGTGTCGGCTGTGCTGTGTGCTGTACCTCGCCCTCTCTCCACTACCTCCCTATTAAAACCAGCCAGCCGTGTCAGTGTTAACCAGCTCCCTGCCAGCACTCTACTGCACAGAGCCCCCGCTGCCTGATTGAGGCACTGAAAGAGGGATTGTCATCCAGCTAATAAACCAGGCCTCTTAGTTAATCTTACAAAGAGGGGATCATTAATTATAAGCTAGCACATGAAGTTCCCAATACTGAGTCCTATTAACTTAGAGTTATTACCCTTGGTGTCAGGTTGCATGGGTTATAATAAACCTCCTAGTCTGGGTGAGGCCTCATATTTAATTCTCTCTGATGTGAAACAGTGCGGGTTTCTGTCAGCGGCTCTGACGATAATTTAACTTCTAAGGGCAGATATGTTGAAATGAATAGAACTCGGAAAAGATTAACATTTTAACATTTAGCCAGTAATTTTGTTCCGAAATTATGTCGATATTAATTCTGTGTTGTTTCTATTAGAACACTGCTTTGGACTGTTCTGAAAACAGCCTGACAAAGCTGCATTATTGGGGTTTTTACCGCTGACTGTGATTATATGTTGGTGTTAAATGTAGCTTTACATGAGCCTTATGGATTGAGCTGGGGAAAAAATCACTATAAACAACAGACGTGCATCTCACAGTATAGCTGTGCTGGTGCGATTCCAGCAATTGTCTGTACACAGTGAATGTGAATCTGCGGTGTGATACAATCTCGGCCAATTAGAGGATAGGTTATGTTTAAAGGGGTCATATGATGCTGCTAAAAAGAACATTATTTTGTGTATTTGGTGTAATGAAATGTGTTTATGCGGTTTAAGGTAAAAAAAACCCACATTATTTTACACATACTGTACATTATTGTTTCTCCTCTATGCCCCGCCTTTCTACTTTTATAAAGAATATCTCTTTGGATTTGAGACTTTAGTCTTTGCAACTTTACAGATCTTCTTTATGCACCAAGAGCTTGTAACACTTCAAAGAGAAAGGAAAAATTGAAATCGCATCATATGACCCCTTTAATGTACATGTTGATCGGATTTTAGACCAATCATATTGAACAATGGGCGGGGCAACTCAGTGCAACAACGCAGAAATAGAAACCAAGCAACCAACAAAATGTGTCCTGGCTCTTTAGGACAAAAATGGAAGAAATTATTACTTCATCATGCTACATCTGATGTAAAAGATACAAAGATAAATCAGGTTGGGTTTTGCTTTTGAAAAGCTTAGCTTCTGTATTTTTTATTTTTTATTTTTTATTAAAGGTAGGAACATTTTGTCTACAATTTGTATTTGAAAATTTTAATCAATCTAACCCTTGAATTATATGTTAATTTAGTATTATTTATATGCTATTATTGTATTAATTAATATTTTGAATTAGCTTTCATTTTTATATTTTCATTTTGATTTAGTTTAATTTTAAAAGCTTTCATTTATTTTTATTTCAGTTTTAGTAATTTTAGTACTTCAACGTTAGTTCAGTTAATTGCCATGGCACTAGTTCTAAGTTTTTTTATTTAATATCTATATTTTATTGTATTTCAACTTTATTTCTATTACCAAAAACAAATAATAACAGTTTTAGTTTCAATTAACAATAACAAAACTGCTTGTATTTGACTTTAGTCAGTCTAGCACTTTTGAGAGATGTCCCTGTCCCTCCATATCAGTGATTTTGCTATTTTCTGTATGTTGTTACAATATCCAGCACAAGCTAACAGGTTTTTGGCAATCACAGTTGAGGGGTAAGAGAGCGGAAAGAGGTGGCAGATAGAGAGAGAAAGACACTGAGGGGGATCTGACCCTGTACGCAGACAGGGCAGTGCTGTCATTGTGCCTAATGTCTCCATGCAGGAATAGGGTAAAAAGTGCTCTGGGAATTCTTGAGATTCCTGAGAGTCCAGCCTCGGTGGCCCACAACGAAAGAAGTAGGGTGACCAGGAAAAAGGATTAAAGACAGCATTCATATCAGGGCATTTTCAAATTCCTCTCTTACGTGTGTATGTGTGTGTGTCTGCTTGCAAAACAAACCCCATGTCTCTGTTTGGCCCTTTGTGTGGGGGTCACCCTGTTCTCCAATGGAGCCCAAGACCCTTCACCTCCCCAAGTCACTCGTAAGCCTACACGTCTCACACAGCCTATTCAATCCCTCACTCTTGTAGATGCTCACGATTTTACTGACAGGCGTGCTGCAGGGCTCCTCTACCTGCTGGGAGGATGAATCGATCGGTCTTGTTTGCTTTCACAAGGAGAAAATGAGTTGGGACGGCCAACCATGGTATGCAGCTATCTGGGTGAAGGGGTTTAGGGAATGCAGGCAGCTCTGTGGAAATGAGAGGTCATTCCGGCAATGACACAGATCTAGTTTTGCAGTCTATGACAATGCAGCAAATCTTAATGAAAAATCAGTTTTCACAAAAGGCATTTGTTTCAAGTCTTCAGACCAAATTGTTTTTGCATGTTTGTTACACATTTAAAATGACTGAATTATGTCAGTTACCACATTTTGGAATAAACTCTGAAATTTCTTTTCTGTGACGGTGAGGTGTGTAACCTTTGATTTGAGTCCACTAGGCCTGCTTATATTAACTAACCATGACATGTATGACCTTAGAGCCATATATTATTGCCACTGGATATTACCTTTTGGCAGAGGATGGGCTTCCACTGATGAGTTCAGAGACTGTCAAGGTTTCTCTCCAATCCTTCATCACTGATTTTTTTTTTCCTTGACTCAGTCACCTTAGCTTTTTGGATTGTAATATTTAAAACATGCATTTTCTGTAAAACTGCTTTGAAATGTTTTGTATTGCGAATTGGATAGATGTACTTTAGAAGGTGGACATTTATGCCATAAGTATAGGTCCAGTCGATTGGCGTTACATGCTCGGATGAGCAAGTGAAAGAAATATTGGGTGATTTGACCCCCATCTGAGGGTTGTCCCCCCGAACAATATGATTAAAAACCACACTGTGTATTGCAAATAACAATGTTTTATACTTTAAATAATTGTGTAAGTAGTAAAACAACGCAAACGGGGCAAAAATGCGTTTTAAGTTTAGAAACATTTTGAGTCTCCCCCTCCCTTGCCTCACAGTGCTTTGGTCCAAATGTCTGCTTTCCTCTTTGACATCACCTACACACACACACAAGTCCGGTGAGAGACAACAAAGTCAATAGTTGTGGAACTCCAAGGCTGTCAAGGCTATTTTATTCACTTAAACATCAGATGAAGTGATTATTTTCTCTTTAATACAGATGATGCCAATGTATTTTTCGATGAGTCGCTATGTTAGCAATAATAACATTACCTGCGTGACGGAAAGGGTTGCCAGGTTGCCAATTGTTACTCAAAACTAGCCCAAACTAACCACGTTTCGAGGGGGTCCCCCGGTAAAAAATCGCGTTCCGGGGGCTAAAATACACGTTATTGGGGTCACTTCAACCCGTGGCAACAGTGATAATGTAGCCCAATTCCATGGTATAACCGCGGACTTGGCAACATTGTGATGGATAGTAATGTCTACATATCCTTACAAGTACAATTTTAGCTGTATTATTTGTGTCCCCTTCAAAAATTGCTCTTGGGAAATTTTATGTTTATTGTCCCCCCACCCCCAACTATTAGATGAAATTTACACCCCTGCATATAAGGATTTTCTACAACATCTTTCTCTCCTGCTTGTTTGCTTGCTCACACACTTGTGTGAGAATGTGCACAAGATCTTCAAGTAAAGCTAAGAATGTAATTGTCAAAACCAAAAAGTTTTCAAGTAGGCCTAGACCACATTTAGTCCTCTCATTTTCCAGCTGTCACACGGAATTTAGTAATGCTGTTTTTATTGAACTTTTTGTTACTCATAAATAATTAATACTTATGTATAGACAGTTGGAGAGATGGAGCTCTGCTCTACAGTAGTATTTGGTGCTTCTGTTTGCTTTGGTGTTGAACAGGATACAAGAGTATCAGTAAAGGGTGCAGTGTAATTTCCCATCCAGGGCACTGTCACTAGGATTTCCTCTGAACACCCAATCTGATGTAGCTGACAGTCACATGCAACAGACGCATGTGGAACACCTACATGCTTCCTCTACAAGAGGAAATTACTACAGTTAGGTGCATGCACACAGGATCTTCTTGTCACTTTTAGTGTTTTAATTTTTTATGTATTCAGTCCATATTTTGGTTGTTTCTATATTCAAATCTCCCTAAAAGACTAGTAAAATATGAGGGATTGGTTTTATACCTGCGGTATTCATCTTTTGCCTTCCGGAGAGAGTTTGCAATGATTATATTGTTGGAGACTAACTCTGATTTAGTTCCTGGTTTGCTCATGAGACTTATGTATTCGTTTTGAACTTTTCCAGTGGTTTTTCCAGCATAACTGCTTAGCTTTGGCAGCTATACCATGGAAATATATCCCTATCCAAAACCTGTGTACTACATTCACTCTAGAGTCACAGATGTGTACTAGAGTCACAGATGCATACTGGAACTCACGAATATTTTACGGTCAGAATGTGTTATTTTGACTTCACTTGGCTTGCAAATGTATTATGGAAAGCACAGTCACGCATACAATACCACTGAGAATGTGTAAGCTTCGCTATGTATTACTCTCAAACTCACTGTTATTTTGTTTAGCTGTTAGGTTTTCTCTAAAATGGCGTGATGACAAACATGAGCAAAAATGAAAAAAAATCTGTATTTTTGGCTATGCATCATGCATGAGTTTTGCGAGGGTTGGTTTTCTCCAACGGATATGAGCAATTTCCCATCAGACAACGGGAGAACAGGAAGACGGTCAGAGAGAGAGTCAACAAAACCCACCTGTAACTGTCAGCTTTTCCCAGAAGAAGCCTCTTTCTGTTCTCTCTCTGGCCAACGAGAGCCTCTGATTGTATCAGTGAGAACCATACCGAGAAATTCTGGTTCTGCTGAGATCATCAAGAGTACAAGCATTAAGATCACAACCCCTCAAAGAGGGGAACATGTGAAATCCAATCATCAGTCTCTAGATTATGACAGTTAGCCAAAGTATCAACTATATAACTGAAAACAACTAAAACACCTGTAGTTATTTAAG